TAGCAGGAAGGTACACGGCAGACAGGGCTGGCACTCAGGAAAACTGTGGCCGCAGCCCAGCAATTTTCAAATTGACCCTGGTTTGTATCATGGAATCAATTTAGTGCATCACAACAACCAGCATTTTAATTTTAACAAATGAGAATAGAAAATATCAGGATGCATCCACATGGAAAGGGTAAGTGTGCTTTTGTGAAACGTTTGTTTTTACCTTCTATCTTTACACATGCACATGTGTATATGGAGGACTGTGATCTAACAATGTCACAAAACTTGGTCTGACCGGCTTGGGCTGGGGGCTACTGAGTGATTCTGCGGGGTCTGCCTCCTTCCCCTTGCTGCAGTCCAGTGGTGGTGTCCCCTCTCAGGCCCCAGGAATTCTAGAAATTGAAAACCTGTACTAACGCATAAAATATCAGTNGGACACGACACTGCTCCACCAGGACACGACACTGCTCCACGAGGACACGACACTGCTCCACCAGGACACGACACTGCTCCACGAGGACACGACACTGCTCCACCAGGACACGACACTGCTCCACTAGGACACGACACTGCTCCACTAGGACACTGCTCCACCAGGACACGACACTGCTCCACTAGGACACGACCCTGCACCGCTAGGACACGACACTGCTCCGCTAGGACACGACACTGCTCCGCTAGGACACGACACTGCTCCACCAGGACATGACACTGCTCCACCAGGACAGGACACTGCTCCACTAGGACACTGCTCCACCTGGACATGACACTGCTCCACTAGGACACTGCTCCACCTGGACACGACACTTCTCCACTAGGACACTGCTCCACAAGGACAAGACACTGCTCCACTAGGACACTACACTGCTCCACTAGGACACTGCTCCACAAGGACAAGACACTGCTCCACTAGGACACTACACTGCTCCACTAGGACACTGCTCCGCTAGGACACTGCTCTGTCAGGACACGACACTGCTCCACTAGGACACGACACTGCTCCACCAGGACACGACACTGCTCCACCAGGACACGACACTGCTCCACCAGGACACGACCCTGCTCCACCAGGACACTGCTCCACTAGGACACAGCTCTGTCAGGACACGACACTGCTCCACTAGGACACTGCTCCACCAGGACACGACACTGCTCCACTAGGACACGACACTGCGCCACTAGGACACTGCTCCACGAGGACACGACACTGCTCCACCAGGACACGACCCTGCTCCACTAGGACACTGCTCCACCAGGACACAACACTGCTCCACTAGGACACTGCTCCACCAGGACACGACACTGCTCCACTAGGAAACGACACTGCGCCACTAGGATACTAGGACACTGCTCCACTAGGACACTGCACCACCAGGACACGACACTGCTCCACCAGGACACGACACTGCTCCAGTAGGACACTGCTCCGCTAGGATACTGCTCTGTCAGGACACTGCTGCACCAGGACAGTGCTCTGCGTGACTCCCTGACCCTGCCCACAGCCCTGTGAATTGTCCCTCTGTTAAAGCCCCTTCTCGTCACCCGGCCTGAGTGTGCTGTTTCCCGCCAGCACCCCGATGACCGCAGCAATGTGGAGGTGCTTGGACACATCTTGGGGGGAATCAGGGCGAAAGACCAGACCTTCTGCCAATCACTCTGACTCAAACAGGAAAGAAATGGTTTTTTCTTTTTTGGGCGTCAAACTAGTAAAGCAGAGTGAAGTGACGTATTTGCTTACACGTCCGTTCCTCCCACCAGCCTGGCAGTGTCTGGAGGTCACTCGTCGTCCTTTAATAAACGTCGATGTCACAGCAGCCTGAGGATGGCAGGTGTCCCAGAACGTCTGCTGGTGGCTGAACTCGCGACCTGTCCCCGCCTTCTGCCTCGTCTGCACAACCCGCATCAGGGCGGGATCCCGCCTGCCCAGGCTGGGGGTGGAAAACAAAGCAGTGCGGCGAATGAAACGTTCATCGGATACATGCTTTTTTGTCACCTTTGTTGTTTCTAGGGCACAGAGTGATGCGAACGTGGTTAACAAAGAAGGTCGTGCAAAGTGGCAACGCTTTTCATCCGACGTTCTCAATGCACGTAATCACCACGTCCGCGTGGAGCACGTGCTCCGTGCCCCTGAGCAATGTCCCCAACGAGAGCTGGATCAAGGAGCGGGGCCACAAGGCCACGACCGGTGCCGCGCGGTCACCTCTGTTCGACACCAAGGATGCCTGTCGCATATCGTTGTGACAAAACTCAGGTCACAAATGCTCGAACGGCAGGATCTCAGTCTCACTCAATACTGACACCGGTGACCACACGGAGGGGTCACCTTGGGAGGAGGTGCCACCCCGCGCGGGTGGGGAGTGCGGACCCGTGTCCAGGCGTTTGTCACGAGGACGTTTTCCTCAATGAACGAGCGGCCGACGCCCCTTCCCCCAGGACACTGCTCCACCTGGACATGACACTGCTACACTAGGACACTGCTGGCAGGTCACAAACGCTCGAACGGCAGGATCTCAGTCTCACTCAATACTGACACCGGCGACCACACCGAGGGGTCACCTTGGGAGGAGGTGCCACCCCGCGCGGGTGGGGAGTGCGGACCCGTGTCCAGGCGTTTGTCACGAGGACGTTTTCCTCAATGAACGAGCGGCCGACGCCCCTTCCCCGGGTGGAGGCGGAGCGGGGCGAGGGCGAAGCCGCCCGCAGCCGAGAGGGGCCGGGACGCGGCGGGCGCACGTTCTCGGGGCGGCTCCGTCCTGCCGCGGGGGACGCGGACGCCTGGCTCGGCGCGGAGGGG